TAAATTTTCTTCAGAACGTCTTCTTGCTAGTTGCAGTCGGAAAATCTCTAAAGACTTTTAAATTCTAGACTAGGTCAGATCATTGTCTCAAATCTTCCAAAATTAATGTGAGTAACTCAATTCAATTTGTGATAGCCGTCAAGTACAGCCAGAACCGCTGAAGATTTTCTATTCACAAACAATGAGAGACAAACTGGGACTTTTAACACTATCTAGTAGGCGCAGATTTATGCGTCTTCAGCTAGTGTTCAAAATTGTCAACAATCAGCTCTGTCTGTCCTTACGCAACTTCATAATTATATGACCTTGAGATCGGAATGCCACGGTAGAACCTTAAGAGATAGACCAAAAAATTCATCTGCCTAAAGTCAAATCCACTATTTGCCAGTCTACCTTTAAATTCACTGGAGCAAAGGATTGGGACGAGTTACCTAATGAATTACGGATTGATGGCCTAACATTAGGATCTATTAAAAGAAAGACATTTCAGTATTTGCAAGAACAAGATAAAACACAACATAAATGTACATTGTTGATTATATCATTTTGACTTTTTTAACACTTTTTTTATGGTAAATATTAGTCTTTCTGCTTTTTTACTACGTACTATTGTTTTTTCTTTTTACTCTTCAAATATTTTATTACTGCACATAGGTTTATACCAGCTGTTTTTTTAAAACTTAGCTGATCTATCTTTTGCAGTATAAATAAAGTATTTATTATTATTAATAACGATAATTTAACTAATATGAAAAAAACATGACAAGGAAAAATGGGTTATTAAATCACTGCAAAAGAAAGTGTAACACTAAGACCCAGATAACAACAACAACCTCACGTTTACCTAATATTTTTAATAAACACTTCAAATGTTGGCAACAACTTAGCAAGCAAATTATCACCGGCAGAGCGCCCCTGTACAGAGTACCTAAGAAAGTCCAAATTGCCAGAACTTTCGTTTTGCTTCAAACCTGTAACTCGACCTAAAGTTAAAATTCAAATTTTATCCAAAGCAAACAGCAAATCGCATAGCTTATACTCCTGTCCTACTCAACTTCTTAGTTACTCAAGCGACAACATATCTCTAGTTCTTTCAAACATTTTCAATACATCTATCACTCTTGGGGCATACCCCAAAAAACTTAAAATGTCAAAAATTATAGCTGACAACGGGACTGACACTTCTGATTGACTTCTTCATTGTTTACTTCATAATGAAGTAAACGGGTCCTTGCAGAGGAGTATAGGGAAGTGAAAGGTTTGAAGGAGTCAACTCGCATTGAATCTGCAAGCTTGCTGGAGTTGTTGACCAAGCATTTAAGAGGCTGTCCGCATAAGAACCGATAAGGCAAATTTCGGTCTATCACGGATTGCCCTGATTTTTTCAGTGGAAGACAACTATCCTATCACATGAAGAAATATCACACTTATTTGGACCAACTCAATTTTTTCTCTATTTTACAGGAAGATATTCTCCGTCACCTAAAACTAGCCAGTTTGCCGTCGGAAGTGGTGCGATATTGCTGAAACTTTAGGGCTCTGTCAAACCTACCTTACATAGCCGAATAAGCTGATTATTTTACAGACAAAAGTTTTAACTCTGATCAATAGTTTCAAGGTTTAATGGTTGCATTCTGTGGAAAGTTGGCTGGGATATGATTTTTTTAAAATGACCTTTAACTTGCTCGGCAGGAAAAGTAATTTGCATAACTAGAGCTGAACGGTAATTTTGCAAAAGTGGCACCTGACCCAGACTCAAGTCTATGATAAATCAGAAGTACTAAGACCAGTCTACTTCTTAATGCAATAAAATTTGTGGGCACTCTTCTTTGTGTGCCGTGCAAAGTTTCGTTAATGTTCCAAAATTCGCCATTTTGATAGCAAAGCTGGAATTGTAACGGGTCCGCATCTGATCGACTAATTTCCACAGCTTTAACGTTTCTAGATATCACTAAATGTCATTAGACCGTTTAAATGTTGGACGTTTGAAAACGTGTGGAGAAAACTCAGTAATCGCTTTTCCTTGGGTCTTTTTCTTGTCAACGATGAACGTGACTTCATTCTCCATATGCAAATTAGCCTTAGATGCGTTGTTTCAACAAATTGACAGGAAATATAATCCTTGCATTTCACATTTCTAAGGGGAAAAATAACTCTCCTTTCCACAGAAAAACACAAACCATGACTTAGAATCCCCCTAAGGTCTGTTTTTTTTTTTTTTTTAACGGGGAAGAGGCAGCTGAATAATATATCATGATATATGTTTGCGTGGCTTAAAATAATTCAATTACTGTGGTCTGTCACGCATTCCTAAAGAGGGGTGGTCAATTAGAAAACAATAGCGTTGTGTCCATCAATTCTATAATATTATCATCTTTTTTTTAAATGATAGTTATTGATAATAATAAAAAATAAGAGTTCACTTGCAAGGTAAGTCCTCTTGTCAGCACACGAAAATTTTTGGGCACTCTTTTTGCGTGTCTTAAAAAATAGCGTTAACGTCGAAAGCTTTATTATGATATTTGCTTATCAGGAGAAGGCAGATCGTTGTACATGGCACTAAGATAAAAAAAAATGCCCCACACTTTTTCTATCTTAAATTAGCAGTAAATTTCAGTTTCGTTCAAAGATCTTTAAAGTGTTTATCGGCAGCAGAATGAAACGGGAAAAATAGTTCCTTTTTTCAGTGAATAAACGCAAAAGGGAGTATCTTTTTAGTTTTTGTTAGGGTATAACATCCGAATTCCAACGATGATCTTGTTTTGGTTTCAATGTGATTGAATTATAATGCAACAGGTTCCAGTTTCAAATATAATTATGTCAATGAAATCGCGAAAGAGATCAATTGTGAAAAATGGCTTTTTCGGCCATTTCATCAAGCAGTTCTTCCGTGAGATCGTAGACAGAGTGAGGTCCCAGTAGGGGCGTGGAGGAATATCATTTAGGCACTCTGTGACCAACACATATTACGTCGCACTTAGCCAGCTGTCACTTGTCTAAGTGTAGCAAGTGTAGCAAAGACAATGAAAATGAGCTCATTTTAGCAAGAGTACGTATTCGAGGCTTGGTGGGTATTCGGAACTGAAATGTCAATCTGCCCAAGGCACAGACACTAAATAGACCCGCCTCCCCTCAGGCTAACACTAAAATGACAATCTGCCCAAGGCACCGAACACCTACTTGGCAGGTTTTTGCGAGCGCCAAGGTCTTGTTAGGCTCGATTGTAAGCCGCTGTTCTGGAAAATGAGCCCCCAACGGACGGGGAGACGGCGGAAATCGAGCCTAAGGTCTTGTCAATAACCCGGTCACACTCTGGATCATACTGGCAAAATAACTTCTGTGGCAGGAAGACATGTCGCAAATTTGCAGACAGCCAGCGAAATAAGTGAAAGTTTTGTTCCATCACGTAAGTATCATTCTTTTTTCTTCGTCGTGCAAAAAAGTCTCTTAATGTACAGAGATATTCTAATTTCTCTATTTCACATTTCATCTTGCGATGTTTTCTGAAGTTCGTTTCCAGTTTATTTGAGCTTGCAAAGATAGTTTTTATTTCTATTTTTTTGACTGCAGTGTATCTTGCCCTAATCAATTCTTACCTTTAAAATGCTATACATACCGGTTAATCCGTGTGCTGTAAAAGATGGTTTTCTGATGATTGTTTGAAGAGCATTATAAATGGGAAAAAAAGAACTTTCTACACGGAGTCAGGATCCAACCTCGTCCCCATGGCTTTCCCGCCCCTGCCATTTTCTAAGAAGAATGTCCTGGGGACGAGGCTAGGAGTGATTGTGGTCGACGTGTCGTATAGCCGATTTGCTCCTCCTGTCGCAAGAAACTTGAAAAATCTTGACGCCGAAGGGTCGAGAAGAGTACGATTGAATAGTCAGCAACCATGTCCACACATTTGCCGGAGAGGATTATTGGACAAGATTTCTCTGTTTTTTTTGTTTTGATATCGTTTTCATTAAGTCTTCAAAAATGCCTCCAGATTGCTGTTTTTTTTGTTTTTGTTTTTGTTTTTTTTTGTATTTATACCCTCTTGACCAATGTGCTCCATCTCATCTCTCCATTTTTAACCTACCTTACCATCCACCCTCTCTCCCCACTGTTCCACCTCTACTTTTACAAGCATTTGTACTTAAGGGGGTGAAATTTCTCCCGTGTATATTAATTTCTGAAAAATTAAGTCCTTCTACCTTTTCCTTAAATTCTTAAACTTAGTTCATTTTTCTTTAAGAACCGCCAAAGATGCTACTAAGGCTGCAATAAGTGCACTCGCCCTTTCATATACTTCATCTAGTGAAATGCCCACCTTTCTGATACCTGAATCCTGAAAAAGATACTCCTTTGGGGCGGAATCTCCCCGTATAAGCCATCATAGGGAGTTCCCCCACCCCTGTTCCAATTCCGTGCTCACCTATTGCCAGCCCATGTTGGACTCCAGGCCCGTTTGAGTCAACACAAAAACATAGTCCTAGGTGTATACAAGTTGAACTTGACCATAGAGATCTGTTGCATGAAGACGAGGAGTTCGAAAGGCAAAAGCTTATTGCAGAAATCGCTGAAGAATTGAGACCACAACACCCTCAACCAGAAGCTTTCACCCTATGTGTATGTCAAAGGAAGAACAACCTAGTCAGTTCAACGTGGTAATGCTAAAAAAATCTTGTGTCACTTTAAAATACCATTCAAATCCAGGGAAAGAAAGGGAGACCTAATTGACAAACTTTCCTCTTTCATACAAGATTGCAAGTGCTTTTCTCCATCAGCTCAGGAGTGAACATAGGGATCCTTAATTTAGTGTGATTAACAGCCGGCAAAAACTTTTGGGATCTAACGGGAGACGGACTGTCAATTTTCTGCATGCCATTCCTCATTTTTACTGAAATGTTGTTAATTGGCGATAAACACAATGCTCTGTTAATACCACCCTAAGGTTTGTAGGGTAGCCTATAGTTAGCTAGGGATTTAGGAAATCTGTATGCTGCTTTAAGGACTTTGCAGGTGTGGTCCTGTGGTGTCGCACGGTATTTCTGAAGTTGTTTGCGAGCTTTTTCCAAAATATTAATAGTTAATTCTGTAATTGAAAATATTGTGCTAGTGCTCGTGAATGAGAGTGGCCGTGTCCAAGTGACTACTTTGTAGCTAATTGTCGTGTATTACACCATGGGCTGTCATATTAAACCCCATCCTCACGGTGGCGCCCGGGGATACTGACTCAGTTAAAACGGTCGTAGAATGAATAAATACAACAGCACGGTATTTCCCACCCAGTAAAGAATCGGAATTAACAGTGATTAAATTGTATGATTATCAATAACTATCACTTCCAAAAAAATATAATCAGATAAAAGAACTGATCGATACACGGCCACTCTCGGGGAATGCGTGACGGGCCACAGTAATTAAATTATTTTAATTCGCGTAAACATATCTTCTTCTACTGCTTCGTACTCGTAAAAGAAACAGACCTAATGGGATTCTAAGTCATATATCGTTAGTGTTTTTCCGTGGAAAGAAGAGATATTTTTCCCTTAAACATGTGAAATATTAGCAGTTATGTTTCCTGTCAATTTGTTGAAACGACGCATCTAAGGCCAATTTGCATACGGAGAATGAAATCGCGTTCTGATCGTCGACAAGGAAAAAAAAAAAAAAACAAGAAAAAGCGATTACCAAGTTTTCTCCTCATGTTTTCAAAAGTCCAACATTTAAACGGTCTAATGACATTCGGTGATAACTAGAAACTTTAAAACTGTGGAAATTAGTCCATCAAATGGGGACTGTTACAATTCCAGCTTTGCTGTCAAAATGGCGAATTTTGTAACATTAACGGAACTTTGTACAGCACGCAGAGAAGAGTGCCCACAAATTTTATTGCATTAAGAAGTAGACTGGTCTTAGTACTTCTGATTTATCATAGACTTGAGTCTGGGTCAGGTGCCACTTTTGCGAAATTACCGTTCAGCTCTAGTTATGCAAATTACTTTTCCTGCTGAGCAAATTAAAGGTCATTTTAAAAAAATCATATCTCAGCCAACCTTCCACAGAATGCTACCATTAAACTTTGACACTGTTAATCAGAGTTAAAACTTTTGTGTGTAAAATAATCAGCTTATTCGGCTATGTAAGGTAGGTTTGACAGAGCCCTAAAGTTTCAGCAATATCGCACCACTTCTGACGTTAAACGGGCCAGTTTTAGGTGACCGAGAAACTCTTCCTGTAATATAGAGAAAAAATTGAGTTGGTCCAAATAAATGTGATATTTCTTCATGTGATAGGATAGTCATCTTCCACTGAAAAAATCAGGACAATCTGTGATACACCGAAATTTGCCTTATCGGTTCTTACGCGGACAGCCTCTTAAACCTCATTCAAATTTGTATAGATGGAAGGGGAGATATTTTAGAAAATAACGGCCACGAAATCAAGAAGATCGTGGACTCTTTAAAGAATAATCAGAGAAATGATCAAATAACTGTCAACCAAAAAGTGGAGGCGGCGATTGCATCTAATTATGAGACAGTAATGGAATATCTAGACAGCAACCGAGACAGAGATACCCTACAGGCAGTGTTGATTAAGGTGACAAGTGTCAATTTGATGACTAGACTAACAAGTCTACAGGACAAAAGGAATTTTCAACGGGCTAGAGGTCTGGTGGGTCAGAATTTGAAACTTTTTAAAGACATGAAAAACAAATTAATGGCCAATTCTGGTTTACTTAGTTACGCACAGAGAAAGAAGAGGAATCTCCTTCTTCAATGTATGAATTTGAAAAGGTTCGTCATATCTTGAAAGCAAGGGGAAGAAGGTTAAAATGTGAAGAATTCCCAGACCTTGCTGCTATTTTGGAATTTTCCTTTGGAGAAGGAGATCGAGTAGACAGATCTGGTAATGGTTTAGAAAGCCATCCGAGCTCTACCGTGCTGCCGACAACAATACCGTCATGAGACAAGCAAGAGGAACAGTAAAAGCTCTGGCTCCTGAGGGATTCAACATCAGCCTGTCGTCTTGCTTCAACTATACACAGAATTATCAGGAAGGGACTTACCAAGCCAGGAGGCACCATTCTGGTAGGGAAAGAAACGCTTGTTTGTCTCTCCACAAAAAACCGTGCACTGGCGTGAAGCAATTTGTTATCAATCTACGCTGATGTCTCTCCCATTCAAAAACCAGGGAAAACTTGGCAAAAGATCGTTTTACCAGACCACGACTGCAAATGGAGACCATTTTGGAGGAAGGAGAGGGTAACAAGAGTTTAAGCAATGTTCGAAAGACAGGCTCCAGTGCATCCTCTAGTAAGAATGTGGTTAGTTCGTTTGACAAGACTGCTTTAATTCAAGACTGTCACCCAGAAGTCATTTGCTGAATACCACAGCAAAAGAAACCCTGTGGAGCAAGCACACGCTGTCCATAACAACCCCCTTTCCAATGAACAATTTTCCAGTAAGGAAGTGCACAGTGAGTACAAGATTGGCGACACCAGACATAAAGAAAATATGGAGCATATGGCTAAGAAAGTGAGGCAGTGCATAATGCACACAGGATGGTGGAAATCCATGTCACGCTTTTTAAGCAATTGGTGCAGAGGAGAATTTTATCTTTGATGATGAAGAGGAACTCGTGACCTTTCTTGGTAAAAGGGAATTTTGCAAAAACGAGGATAACGGTCAATACAAGCCTGTTACGACAAAATTGTGGAGGGACGTAGCTACCGTCCAGAACTTGAATGAAACCTTTGTTGGGAGCTACAGAGATGACTACCAGAACAGCTATGACGAAGAAGGCGAATGCACTTGTTGTTCCGACAAGTACTCCACGGTGATATTTAATCCTGACATTTCACGTGAAAGACAAGAGAAGTGTTTCACCATGCAACCAATTCCTGATTATGAGGTGGTTAAAAACAGGTGGGGAGATGCATTACTTGCCGCTTAGCAAATTGCAACAGCGACACACAGAGGTTGTTGATAACACACCTGCAGTGTTTCTACCATCAAAAATCTAAGAGCTGACGTGTAAAGTGTTCTCTTATGGAGTGGAAATAATCTTGCCATGCATTTTGTTTATTAGCTGGTGTACAGAGGAGGATGTCAAGGTGTTCCATAAAGATTTCCAGAAAAAAACCATAAATCATGTATTAATGACAAGTAGAATGTTTCAATTGTTTCTTCAGTTAGGTTGGTACGAAACTGAGGTTTAGTCCTGTGATCGTGATGAAGTGGGTTTGGTGTTTGTTGAAGAGCCAAGATTTGTGTACAAAATCCCTGTTCTCCCAGACTTGCTTACCGGCAATCTTTGCATAAAAAAGGATAACTACAATTCCAGTCAAACAGATCAAACTATATATCGCTTGCAATGTGCATGATTTTCTGAAAAGTTTTGTGAAGATGAAACAAAGATGACACATTAATCAACTGGGAGGAGGTCGTTAAGTAAGGGTTATCAGCCTGAAGCGTGGGGTTATGTGATTTACTCCCCTCGTGCATTGCCCTCGGGCACGAGGGGAATAAATCACATAACCACGAGCTGAAGGCCAATAAACAGCTTATTTTTACACTGGCGAGGATTCCTCAAGGGATGCAAAAATACATTGACGAAAAATGCTGTTATTGTTCATCTTTCTTTTGTTTTTTAACACTCCATGCTGCCACTGGTGGTATTCACAAGTTTATCGGCTTTTTAATTATGTTAGTTTTTCAAAGTCGCATTTCAAATTAGTTGTTCAAAGTGAATGCTAGAAACAGCCTAAAGAGCCTAGTAGTGTTGAGCGATTCGGAGCCAGAAGTAGAGCCGTTTATTATTGAAATAACTAAAGCAGCTTCAGTGGCCGTACTGCAAGAGCTTAAGGAAAACAATTTGAATCTTCATTTGCGAGTGCAGAAAACAAGCAAGCAGTTGACAATTTCAACTTTCGCACCGAATCTTTCGACCGACCTGCATGTTTACATGCAAAGAAGATTCCAGGCGAGGGATCACTACTGTAACTCACAAGGAAATTCAGTCAAGGAATGAAGCAAGAATACCACAAAACACAAAGAGGTCAACTACATCTCTTAATGGAATACACGAGTTTGGGATGACTGGTTAAAGAACGGAACACCTTACTATGACAGCGACACTTTTGTGGAACCATAGAATTTTAAAGACGCTGTTAATTTTCGAACTGTCGTTCTGGCTGTGGAAATCGATGAACCAACATCTAAGAAAATCCGTGAATGTGGCCCAAAAGAAACGCAGTTCAGACTAATTTTAGTAATGGAAGCGTCGTGTTTAATATTTCCAATAAACATTTCTGAATTTTTTCTTTACGAAAAGCTAATTAAAATGTGTAGGGATTATGCATTAATATGCAAGGGGGATAGGTGACTTATCCCCCTTGCATATTAATACATAATCTCCTCGCATTTTAATTAGCTGGTCGTTAGCCCCGCTCTTCCCTTCAAACAATCAAAGCCACGCCCAGCTTTTCAGACAGTTGATTCGGAGGTTATGTAATATATTCCCCCCAAAAAGAACAAAGGAGTCCAAGCTTATGTAAAAATAAGGCCTGTTACAAAAGCACAAAACCACATCCTCTTTTCGGGAATTTTCTTCTCACATAAAACGTGAACCTGCACAAAATAACAAACATGAATAATTGCTTTGATGTTCGTTGAGAATCGAAAACCATCTGCTAAAAAAGGAAGGAATTAAATGGTAAAACTGTATACTTTCGATGCAAAGACCAAAAAACCGATAATAAAAATGGCCTGAGTGCCTCTCTCGTTAGGTAAAGGATTCAGGAGAAAAATATGGGCACAACTAGTTCAAAATTTGAGCAATCTATACAGTGGAACCCTGCCTTACAGCAACCCCATTAATAAAGTCACCTCGTTATTATCACCACATCATCTTGACCCCAAACTTAAGGAACTTCAGTCATTTTCCCTAGTTGATAAGGTTACCCTGTTAATATGGCAAGTTTTCCATGACCCAGTGGTGCCGTATTAACGAGGTTGCACTGTAAAAATAAATGTCTGGCAATTATAATTGTTGATAGTTATTATGATGTCAACTTCCTCTGTGCATCAAAAAAACATAAGGAGTGGTCATAAAGTACAAGAGGGGGTGGGCCATCGTTTTTGTGCTTTAAAAAAGGGGTGGGACAAGAAAAACCATGCCATACATTGGGCAATTCCAGAAAATGTCCATACCCAACCACGGATGGCTTCCATGTTTTAACCCCCTTGCCTTCGGAAATTCCAAAATGCATTACCCCCCATGCCCTCAGAATTCCATAATCGTGACCCCCCCCCCCCTTCCGAATTTCTGTTTTTTTTTTTGGAAGTACGACTTAGCAACACCTATATGAACAAACGAACATGAATTATGCCTCCTCAAGGCTGTGATCTAGCGGCGCCAGGTGACAAGCTTTACTCTTCAGTGACAAGAAAACCCTACCACTAGTGGCCAGGCAGTGCAAACTCATTTTTCAGTCCAAATTTGGCTATAAAAATAAACACCACTTGAGGTAATTTTACTCCTCTTTGTTTTCTTCTGCTGTTTTGATGTTTACAAAGCAAAATAGCTCAAATTCAGACTGTTAAAATCTTTTGGCGGTCAAATATACCGTCGCGTCGTGTTGCGTCCTTCTATACGTCATCTAGTGTGCACGAAAAGTGTCCTAATCTGACAGGCGTTCTTGGAAGCAAGGGACTGGTGCGAGTTTTTTACTGTTCATCGGACGGGAGTAACAAGAAATTTGCAAGCGGTAAGATACATTTTCAGTTTTTATTCATGTGACAAGAAATTCATCAAGGTAAATGTGAAACCCACGTTTTACTGTTCACTTCTACAAGTTATGAGCGTAAACACGTGTCTGATCTATCAATGCTTGTCTTCTGCTTCCGCGGTCATACGTTCGCGGTTTATTTACGAATTACAAAAGTCCACAACAATAGCATTTTCAAGGAACTCACTCTACACTTTCTACTCCAGAAATCCCACCTGTGGAATTCCGCCATGCCTTCGGATTTCAAATCGTAAATACCCCCCCTCCCCCATGCCCTCAGAATTCCATAATCGTGAACCCCCCTCCCCTTCAGAAATCCTAAAAGCTGTCCGAGTTATAGTATGGATGTTTTCTGGAATCGCCCATTGGGGGTGGGCCATGAATCATCATGGTTCAAATTTATTACTTAAGCAGATATGTATACATACATTAGAATAAAACCGCTCCTATAATTACACTTGGCCATAATAGTAGTTCTGGCTTAGTTATTTTTTTCAAAATAATCTAAACAAGAAACATTAATATAAATAGAAATATACCAAAACCGAACAAAATATATATAATTACAACCTTACAATACATGTCTTGCACACAAACTGATAACCACTTTATGGTGACTGCTTATTAATGTCAAGGACAAAGCAGTATACAAGATCAAATGCAGCAACTACCAGGCTTCTTACATTGGTGAAACTGGCAGAAACCTAAGCACGTGAATGACCGAACACAAACAAGCGACGAGGAATGGTGACGTCAACAATCACATTCCTGAGCACCATTTATAGACAAAATATCAAATTGACTGGGACTCTGCGACATGTATAACGTATTCTACAGACTACTATCCACGTCTTACTTTAGAAAGCTGGTTTAGTAACTTAGAACAAACGCCACTGAATTGTAGCCAACAGTTACCAGCACTGTACAAATGACTTATTGACGACATCAAGCAAAACTACGAGAGAACAACTGGAGAACCGACAATTTGACTAACAATCAACAACTGTTTAACTGTGACAAT